CACGCAGCAGTGATCTCGCATTCAATTTTGCTGTTGGACTGCTTTTTGATCACGATGTACTCCACAGCACAATGAGTACAAGTATTGAAATTGTTTGATTCGAAAATCTTGTAGCATCTTCTGTATCATCTGCTCCTTATCTTCCTTTATATATAGTATACATCGTCTTGCAAGTGCAAACATTGAATGTTATGCTTAAATTCAATTCATCATATAATGTTGATCTATCTCTGAACAAGGTCTCCGTGTGTAAAGCACATGTCGGATATACCGCGGAAACGGGTTCGTTTAAATGTATCTGGCACATCAGTGGTAGGAATTAAGATGATTCCAAGGCTGACTAGTTCGCCTCCTGCTTGTCCTTCGTATAAATCCGATCAGAAAACATTGTGCCAACTTCCTAGCAAAAGGTATTACAGCAGGTAAATAGGTAAATTTGGCGATCAGCTTACGGCCCACAAAGACGAGAGGGGAAAGGAGGTTAGCGGACATTACCATATTATCGGAGCGTGCTCCACTAACAAGATCATTCATTCATTTGGATAGAGAAACCTTTGAAGTGTCTCTCGTTGTGGAAGAAGAAATTAATGAACGTGGTGTAGACTGTGTTAAATTCCGATGCACAAACCATTTCCATGACAAACTCACGGCGAAATACAAATACTCAGGAGCTGGGCTGCTTCATGCTGAATGGCGCGAGAATGTGGCAGCGGCATTACTGATTTCACTAGGAACTCGTCAGATACTTGACATACCCACTGGTGGCTAGAACGCTGGTCTGAGTCGATAGGAACTCATTATCAGATCACTATTCTGAATCTAACTTCACTTTGCTTGGTTTGGTCAGATAGTTCTCAATTTAGCAAGTAAGATACCTTTTTCAAAAATACTCGGGAAAGAAGAAAGATGAGAAATGATATAAGATTGACGGACGCAAGAAACTCTGCAAGAGCCTAGCGTTGGTTTTAGACGATAGTACATGTATTTAGTCACTTTATTATTGAAATTCGCATACTAGCTGTCGAATCGTAACCCTAGGCTAACGAACTTCAAGATCTACACTACATCAATAAGCTTACAAAGCTCCAGACCTCCCGGTAAACTGTAATTCTGATAGATCTCATTGCAATTCCCGAATACCAGTTAATCTAGTTGGCCATTGATTTGCATGTAAATCATCAGTGGTTAAAGAGCGTTTGAACTTCAATCAATCGTTTAGCTATTGCTGCGTCAATTTCTATCAATCAACGCAAGGCGCTCATGATATCTCACCAAACCCTCAAAGAGATCACGATTACTCATAGTCCCATACTAAAATAGCTCGAAAATGTCGAGATTTCGAACTCGGGCTAGTAGCTATGCGGGGAGCACAAATTCTCTCAAGTAAAATCTTTGAAAGAAGAGCTCTAAGAACTTTTAGAGCTACCCGAACGAAGCTCTTGAACTTGCTCCTACCACTATCAAGAATTAGAACACAAACTCTCGTAATGAATCCCAATTGAATATCCAGTTGCCCGTGGCAAATTATCTATTTTTAAAAATCCGTTTCTCGAAGAATGTCTCTCATTTTTCCAACCCCGGCCTCTCAAGAATGCCCTCTCCATTCACCCCGTCAACTTTCCATCTCATTTCTATTTTCTACACAAAAGATCCCAATGTTTAAATTCTCCAGCCACACACATACATGCATCAGTATAGAAACTGATATCTAATTGCGGCACCTTTGCAATTGCCATGTGGAATTTCCTGTTCCGGCGTTTGCAAACCTGATACCAGCCCTCACACATACCCGCATGTCTGAAATCCCGCCATTGCGGGATTATGTGGCACAATTGTACATTCCTGCTCCCAACGTGATTTTCTGGCAGGGCAACATTGATAGATTTTGTGTTCCCAAGAAGGAATGAATAGATGAAAAAGATGCATGAAATTGAAATGGCAGAAAATAATGTGCATCATGGTTGCAAGAACAATCAATTCACAACCTCCTCGAATGATTTCTCCATTCTAAGGAATGAAGCTCGTTGCCGCGCATCAACCCTCGCCATGGGAAGGAATGATGTATACCTTCGGAAGCAGCTCTTTGTCTGCAAGCTCTCTATATAAATCCAGCATTTACCCCTCTTCAAGTTTCTTTTGTTCTCTATCGTTCTCATCTACAATTCACTTCCCCTCAATTCGTTTCAACTTCAACTTCAGTCTCTAAATCTCATCTGTATAATCTTCTTCTTTAACTTTTAACTCTAAAACCAACCTCATTATGAAGTTCTCACTCGTTGTTTTGGCCATCACTGTTACTCTAGCCTCTGCGGCCGAGTTTCCAGGTCAGCCAGCTTGCGCTGTAGGTATCCCATAGTAGCCATCTCAATCACTTAACTAACAACCCATATAGAGCGCCTGTATCTCACAAGCCGTTGCCGAAGGTACCAACTGCGACATCGAAGACACAGCCTGCCAATGTCAAGCCTCCAATCTCGCCGGCATCTCCAGCGCCATCGTTCCCTGTATCCTCAGCGCCTGTACCGCAGCCGGAGAGATCCAACAAGCCCAGAATGCTCCCAATAGATGCACCATAGCAGCTGCAGAGACAACCGCGGCTGAAAGCACCAGTACCGCAGAGACTTCTTCGGAAAGCTCCACCGCGTCCGCATCTCCAGGCTCGTCGTCTTCTTCTTCGGGCCCAGCTTCGACTTCGGAGGTAGGCTCATTAACCACTGCGCCGGCTACGACTTCAAGACCTGGGAACGGAACGGTTACTACCGGAGGTCCTACTGCTACTTCTAGTGCAGCTGGAGAGGTCACAGCAAATGCGGGACACTCTGTTGGGCTTGCGGGTGTTGGTGGTATGGTTGGTCTTCTTGCGGCTGTGGTCGCTGCTTTGTAGATGGTCATGTCTTCTACACTTGAGATACCATCATAGTACAGTACAGCATGCGATGTTTTTTGTATTACTTCAGTGTTTGTTGAAAAGGAAAATGGAGGAGGATGTAATAATTATTGGATATTTGGATTCTTCTAATCGCGTTGTCAAAGGGTATTGAGGAAAAATTTGAATGGGAATGGACGATTTCGTGGGAACGATCCTAGGCACGGCGAGACTTGGCAAACTTACGACATTCCTTTGCGGCAAAATTCTCGTTCCATCTATTATGTAGCTAGTAAATTTCAATACAATCAATTCACATCTATGTGATCGCTCACGGTATCTCATCTGATCATCTGCGTTCCTTGGTAATTTAGTGAGATAATGGCTTCTTGACACCAATGTTTATATCGACTTTGTTTCTCAGCTCTCTCCAATCCAACTAGACATGAAGAAAACTCATCCAGTAATATTCGAGGAATTGATGTATATTCGTATAATCACCACCTTGAGCAAAGCTTGAAGATCAAAAAGCGCCTCATCGCCAAAACAAAAGGGAAGAACGCAAGTCCGGGGCGAGAGAGCTGGCGCCTAACCACTTGTTGTATCCCGGCTGAGCTATTCTTCAGACTTGAATTCTCTCCAAATCACTCATTCACTCTGCATCCACCCCTTCTACCATGCCTCATTTAGTCTTTCACATAGAGTCACAGATGACGCTGATGTAGTCACGTGAACGACGGCCCCAGTAAACCGTGCAAGGATAGTCATCCCTCAAGTTTGTTCGGAAATAGGTCCGACTCTCCTAGCCCGTTTTCAGCGCTCTATGGCGAGCTGAATACATCCAGAATCCAGCCGCATGCTTACGGCGATCTCAGATCCAATGACTCGGTACAAAATATAAGTGGTATTGAAGTACTAGCGGGCAAGTCAAACATAAGCAGCCACATCTATAGATGTGACTCTTCAATTGTCCCTGATCCAATCGTTTAGTACATCACCCGGTAAGATATAAATGTGATTTAGATTTTTTTCCCCGCGGCTTTTGACATGCATAACCGATCGATCGATCTAACTAATGCAGCCGCATCTACAAACGTTATAAATCTCGTGGTTAGCGGCCACAAAAAGCCACATAGAGTCTGTTGACTTGAAATTGAACCTTTAAAGCTTTTCATGCATTTTTATTGCTAATGAACCTGTGGGGTGGTAAACGAGACAAGCAAGGTTCACAAAACGAGATATGCGAGCTCGAGGCGGGGTGCTCAATTTGGAGATCATAAATGACAGTATTGGGCTAGAAGATTCTCCAGGGAATATCCAATAGAAAGATCATGTTAAACTTTCGAATCCTAAATGGAGCGGCATACTAGCACTAAGCTACTAGCCTATACTTAAATGCCAGGTGCCATGAGCATTGAGGAGAGAAGATACGTGTGAAAATAGAATCTGAGATTGCAAAAAAGTTGATTCAGCTCGAAGGTTTTCAGGGCAACATCCACCTAGACTGATCTCATTACAGCTACGAAGTCTAGATGCAACGGCGAAATCTCAAGTAGAGGCACATCTAGACTCTTTATTGGTTTGTTAAGGGAAGAGACGATTCTTTTCCACCTCTCTCCACTAGATACAATCAGATCCGCATCTCTACGATATGGGCATCGCTGAAGGTTCCATGTATAGACTCCTCATGTCTTGGAAAACTCCTGTTACGTCTCTCTCCGCGCCTTAATATGCTCACATGAAGCACTTGGTTCTCAAATTCAAGGATTTCGTGCGTGCAATTGTCGTCAGGCTACCAACATTGGCACCGCTGCTATTGGAAAACTCGCTAAGGATTTCCCATAAAAGTAATCCATGCAGACAAATTTCTCCCGCGTCGCTCAGCTGCTCAAGAATGACTTTCAGGGCCAATAGAAACTTGAACACAATTTTTCCCAGTCATTGAAGTCTGGTCAAGCTAACTCGCAGGGACGCATACCGGAGGAGATAATGTGAAAGAAGCCGAGTCAGAGAAATTTATAAAGAGACGAGAACCTCTGCTCCAGAGTCAGCTCAGTACTTCTATCTGTTGAAGATCATCAACGTTACTGGGTAACATAAGTCTTGAGTCTCATCTTAGATCAAATTCAACAATATGTTCTTTACAAAGCCATCATTTGTTCTTCCACTCTTCCTGGGTGCATCTCTGACTTCAGCGATCCCAACTCCTGAGTTAGTAGCCAGGACTTCTGGAGAAGTCTTTAACGACGTGCGTCCAAACTGCCATTTTTTGAAACAATTTTCGCTAAAAATTTAACAGTATGAAAGCATTCTTCTCGGCGGCATCCCAGGCGTCATGAGTGCCGCACCTATCACCGCTCTCTACAATCAGCTTTCCTATTCTAATTTCTATGCGGTACGACAGACGGGTCTATCGACTCTCCTTATTAAACCTAATGGCAATCAAGCTGCCGTTGGAAACAATGTTTCCACTTTGACATCAGTTTATGCTGGGTCTCCCGTCGCTTCTTTCAAGCCAAATTCCGCCTACTTCGGATGTGTCGTGAACAGCGATTCTGCCGTGTCTCCAGCTGTATCTTGTACCGTACAAGTTATAGCTTATAGACCCGATGGTACACCATATGCTGATAAAGCGGGATGTTTTTTTGATGGCGGAAATACTCGTAAGTATACACTATTGCCAATGTGTTTCGAGAGGCATTGTGGAAATACTTCCAAGTCCTAGGCACTAACAAACGCTAACTATCTGACTAATGATAGTCGATCAATGCACCTTCCCTACTACCTGGACCACGGTTGGGAAACTTTCATACCAAGTCGTCGCATCTCAGATTTTGACAACCGTGGGCCCCACTCTTGGTAGTTTGCTTGGAAGCTTGTCCGCCGCGCTTGGCACCGTTCTTTTCTATTTCGACGACTTTAATGCAATCTATACATGTGTTCCTGGCAAGACCAATGCTGTGATTAGTGGCCTTTGCGGTTGAACGCACCAGAATTGGTATCTAGTAGGCGGAAATTGTTGGAAGATTATAAAACGGATATAAACAGTTGGTTGTGTGTTTTGAAAGGGACAAATTGCCGTTGTTGCTTTCGTTGCCATTTCAGTTTTTGATTTTACACCGTGACTTGGAATTTTTGGCATGCTTGTGGCCTGGCATCAGGGCCCCGTCTTTCTTTAGCTTAGTTCCCCTATCTGAGTATTGATCTTTTGAAGCCTTTACAAGAACTTTCTCGTAATAAGTGTGACATCCTTAGAGCATAGCCCCGCCGATTGAAACACGAAACTGTGGTATTTTAAGATACAAGAAGGTAGAAAGGATACTGAGTCATTCTTCCTTCCATCAAGTAGATGCGAAAAAGCTTCTGTAAAGGGAGTTGATTGAGGAAGATGACCACCAGGTACGTACTCGCTTCTCGATTTGGAACATGTAGCGCAGCGTTCATCAGACGAATACTATTCCGCGATTGTGATGCTTTAGCAGAAAACTTCTTGAACGAGGTTAATAGACAAGGGGAAAAAAAGATGAAAGTACGCTCAAAAATATGAGAACTTAGTTAGTAAGCCTGGCTGGACTAAAAGTTGGATGGAGTTACGGCTTATAAGATGAGGTACCTGTGGTCGTCGACGTGACAGTAGAAACAGTAAGTGCCATGTTGGATTTCTAGAGGTTTAAAACTCAAAAAGCTTTTGTTGCACTTGCAGAATATGGCCAAATCAGGTATTGACTTAGAAGGTCTTCAACATAGCATGGAGATCAAGACTCTAGTAAACACCTCGTACTGTGATAAGTCAACATTTTTGTTCAGTAGTAACAAGATATCAAGAAGAGTAAAATAAATGGCGACAAGAGTGATAAGACAGATACTTTGCATTTCTATCTTATCGCCAAATTCTGCGACCCCGCACTAGGGACGGAAGCCAATCACAACTCACATAGATTAGATAAGCATCCTTCATCACTAAATTTTTGAATACTCAGGGAAGGAATCATTACAATTCAGAGAATCAAAATCTGATTCACGATCGAGATGTTTCGCGACACCGAATTTCCACTATCTTCAGGTACTTTTACCATGTCGCCGTCTGAACCTACCACTCATAATGACGACTTTGACGATGTCTTCGGATCTGAACCAGGTTCTCCTACATTTAACGGCAGAGATATGCGCGACGGAGATGTGTTTGGAGTTGGAAATACAGAGATTTCAGATATACCAAGATTAAAGGAGAAGCACGAAACAGAAGGATATAGAGATGGTGTTACAAAGGGAAAATCTGAGAGTGTTCAAAAGGGATTCGACGAAGGTTATGGATTAGGTGCTGTGTTGGGATTACGGATAGGAAAGATTATCGGAATTCTTGAAGGGATTTTTGGCGCAGTTTCCGTGTCCGCAAGCAAGTCCGACGATGCAGAATGGAGAAACGAGAAGAGTAGATTAGAGGAATTGTCCAGCAATGCAAAGAGTGAATTAAAGACGGAAAAGGTTTTTGCAAGAGAGTGGTGGGGCGAGGATGGAATATGGAAATTTGAAGTTCCAGGGGAGAAGGAAGGAAAGGATGTCGTATTCCCCGATGTTGCTGCAGCACATCCTTTACTCAAGAAATGGGAAGGAATTGTGAAAGAGGAGATACAAAAGTGGTCGCTGGATATGAATTTGATGGAGGGAAATGAAGAGGACGTTGTGCTTGTGGGACCGCATATGAAAGCTGATGCTGTGGAGCAGAGGATTGGTGCGGCAAAAACGGATCTGAATTGGTGAAAGAGCATTGACAACACAGAATTCAAATGATCATATCTGGAGGCGAATCCGACTTTCCACGGCATATACGAGATTTGGCCAGCAGATGCCATCTTGGGACTACCAACCTCTCAAACCAAAATAAATCGTCAAGCACCGTTATCGACACATTGAAGGGAAAGGACGATTTGATGTCGGACAGAAACCCAATGAGTAAATCTCCGTTTGCTCGGGGCAATTTACAACATGCATCCTTTCCTCAGTTTGTCTACATCTTGACGCAAGCAGGCCTAAGGACCAGATTAATCGGTCCCAGCATCGACGTCTCGTGGACATAACCAGCCCTCTATGGAGCGGATGTGACCTCGGGATCACAAGTTCAGAGCAAAGGCCACCCTTTTCGGAAGTTTGAAGAGACACACGTATTTTAAAGGACCCAAGCGTACGCCAACATTCATCAGTAAAGTCAAGCTAGAAGTAACGAGAAGCATTTTGAGGCCCCTCCAACCCACCCTAAGTGTCTTTCTCATTTGAGATGATTATGCATCAATTCACACTTTAAGGTTGAAAAAGTGTGTGGGATTAATCAACCATTGGATGGAGATTCTGTAGCCAGCTGTTGCCACGGGACATTGGAATTATAATAATAGAATTACCCAATAATACAATGTGCCATTCTGATATCTATGTACCTATAGATCTTTGACCTATCCTGCACTCCATTTATTTAAAGCAAGATACGAGAAACTAACCGGATATCCAACTTTGAGCGCTTACAGAGACCCAATTGCTGGGGGAGGGGGTTTTCATGTGCAGAGTACCACCCTGCGTGCCACCCTGTTGCTGCGGTCAATGCACACAGGTAGGCTCGTAGCCAGCCTTTCCAACTTCTGGTAGTATCTTTCATGAAACACACCATTGAAAGTACCTAGCGAAGAAAGAAGCTTAAAACCGCCGAACCAGTTAAATCTTCCGATGAGAAAGATCGACAAGGGTAATTTAATGATCTACCATCATCCCGCCAATGATATGCCCTGGAAGTTAAGTTCGGCGGCGTTCATGTAAAAAGTACCTCACCAAGAGATGGATAAGCAAAAACTAGAACATGTCACTCTCGCATCCCCAATAGCTTAATGAGTAAGGCGATTTTCTCCGAGTGGGCGATTTGCAAATTGACCGCGGGTTGTCGAGGACCGTAAGGCCTAGTAGGAGTAAGAGGATCCAGTTGAAAGACTCTTGTTGGCGTCTGAGTAGTTAGTTGGGAGGGGAGGTAGGTCAAAGAGCCGGCAACAACGGCCCTGCTACATTGGACGAAAAGAAGCATTTTTCCCTTTTCCCTTTTCCCTTTTCCCTCTTCCGGCTCAAACTCACAGACATTGGTCCCTGAGTATGTTCCTAATTTCCTAATTTCCTAATTTCATCAGGTATCTAGCTGAGGTACCTAGCTGAGGTACCTACCTAGTACTTTCACAGACGCTTCTTTCTTCCTGACTCTCCTCCGTGACTACTAGCATATATGAAAAAATGGCCGATACCACAATTTCAGTCGGTACTGATCTCCATACTATACATATCAGATCAAATCCAGAAGGGAAAGAGGTACTTGGTGCTTGTCATGTAAGTGGGGACGTATTACTCTGTTAGTATATACGTACTCGGTACCTACATATCATCTCATCTCTTCTTCTCTCTCCATCCTTCGATTTTCTTTTCTCTTCTCCCTCCTCTTCCTTATCCGTAATAACCTGCTTACCCTACCTCTCCTCCATCTTCAACCTCAACATTCACCTCTCTCCTCTGACCTCTCGTCTTCACTCCTAGCAAGCCCTCACATTCTTTTGTCCCTATTCATTCCCTATAAGATTCAATCTTTATACGGGCTTGCTGTTCACTCCTTGAAAGATTGTCCATATCTCTATTCTCGAATCCTAGATTTCTAATCGTTTTGAATCAATTCATCGCGTCGAAAAAACAACAAGAGCAAGCACCTTCAGACGAGCAATCGCATTTGCTTGCTTTTTTGTGTCTAATTAAACACTCTATCATACGAGGTGAGTTGTCATATATGTCTCATTTCATACTTTATACTTCAGCCTTCCCACTTGATATACTTCAATTCTATCATTTGCATCGCCAATCGGCGCAGGAAATTGCGGTCGCCTAGTGAATGGGTAAATGACTTTTGTTGATCTACACAGCCTTTACCTCCAATGCGACAAGGCAAGGCTGGAAGTTATATAATACTTCACACAATACTTCCAAAATCTAAAACCCCAAATCTTCCTTTCTTTCTATTTTCCATTTTATTCAAGCTGCACTCTACTTACTCACTTGTCGCTACTTGTCAATATCTTCTCGCATTGAGTTTGACGCACCCCATACTGATCTTCTTCAAGTAATCCTTAGCAGCCATGAAGGCTACCTTCATTTCCTTGGGCCTTATTGCCTCCGCCTCCGCCAATATTGTCTTCAATCATGTCCCATTAAGCTGTGATATTCGAAGCACTAATTTATACTATGGTTGTCTTGAAGGTCAAAATTGTACAGATGATGGAACTAATGAGTAAGTAACCTTGGACAAGTACAACAGAAGCATGTAACTGATTTTACCCCCAGATGTTATGTCCCGACCACTCCAATGCCATCTCGTTATTATCCGGTCCCAGTCAAAGATCGAAAAATCGAGCCAAGACAAGCTGTCTACTCAACAGATGGTAGCTGTGGTCCTGCCAACGGTAACACTCTCTGCGATCCAAACAGCACAGTGTACAAAGGTTCATGCTGCTCGGTAGGTCACCCTAATAATCCATGGAGGATCAATCACTGATTTTAATGATAGTCATATGGCTGGTGTGGAAATGATGAAGCGTGAGTACACCCTGGCAATCGATATTATTCTTGAATTATTACTAACCTTTTATAGTCATTGTGGAACCGGATGTTTATCAGGATGTACAGGCGGCACTACAACTCCAAGCGGTACCTCTCCTCGAACTGATGGCCGATGTGGAAGTGTGAGTTTTCATGATATTCTGTTGTGAGTGTGGTATACTGACCTTAGTAGGCTTTCGGTGGTGCTACCTGTGATGCAAAGGGTGCGTTTGGTGGTTGTTGCTCTGCGTATGGGTGAGTCAAGCTTTACCCACATTCAATTTGTGCTTTCATATTACCAAACTTATTTCCTATCATGAATGGATGCTAATCCTTCCGTTTGTAGTTATTGTGGCTCTACAAGTGATCATTG